ACGAGACAACTGATATACTATACGAGCGATGGTTTTATTGCGAAGACTTGGGAACACAATTAGTGCCAATCATTAAACAATTTCAGGCATCAGAAGAGTGTAAAACTGGGAAACCATCTAAAAGTATTTTTTCAGCAAAATTAATGAATCGAAATAAGTATTTAGTTTATAAAATCTAGATTCAAAGCTAGGAACTGCCCCCTATTCTGATGATATAACTCGACAAATGATGAGACCTTTTGATTTGAGAGAATGGCTTAAAAACAACGCCAAAGAGATCGATGAGAATGGCTTTAAGCCGTTGTTTGACAATAGTTTTCAATCAAAAATCACTGTTTTTGGTGGCAATAAAACTCATGAAATGAAGAGTCCTTTCGAAACATTCGTCTTACAAGTGGTCAGTATTTTACAACTTTTAGCATAATTTCAGTCAATTCTATCGATTGTGTGAAAAGTGTTCAAAAGAGGGCGCTATCCGTGCCATTAATACACACTATTATATCTAATTTAAAAATAAATTCTGTTAAATCTTTTATTTAAGTAATAACTATATGAAAGATTTATATTTAATTTTACGAGTATTTAGCTTAATTAATATTTAATTAAATTATTGTATTTTATACTTTAATATTGAAGTTATAATTCCATTGCATAGTATCACAGAATTTATTATTATTGATATATTAATAGAATTTAATGAATACTATATCGGTTTCTATTATATTAATAATATTGTCAATTAATGTTCTTGATAAATTTCTATAAATTCCTTTGAAAAACAGAAAAATGATTCAAACGTTATAATTAACAACAAATGCATTCAATTAGTCGCCGGAAATACAATCCTCGTCCCCAAAGACATGAGGTATTATTTATGCTTTAAATTGTTTATATTTAAACATCTAATGTTACAATTTAAACATGGGCCACAATGAATATGAGTATTTAATGATTATTAGTATTAATATCTTATTTAATATTAATTCAGTATGATTAATATTTTTGCTGACAATTATTCTTTTTGTTTTAAATATAATAATTTACCTTTAATTTAAAATAATGTAAAAATTGGTAATCAATTTATTGTATAGAAGTATCGCATAAAGTAGACGCCAAGTATTTATGATTACGGTACTATTGATTCAATTATAATGAAAACTTTGTTATAAAAGTATCTGTTTTAATGTGCGATGAAGTGGTGGACATAAGTCTAGTGCATTATTAAGTTGTTTTGTCCATTTTATAAATATGCAGATAATAAATATAATTATATGGTCTTAATATTTGATTTGCATATCATTTTATGGTATAGTTGTTCATTGAAGTCAGTTCTTGGAAGCTATACACTGGCCGTTACAATGCCTTCAATGCCATCCAATTCACTGTAATTCAGCTGAAAATATCTTAAATTGAGATAAAACTAGAAGAAA